CCAATTATGTAGGAAGGTGTAAAAGAGAGGTCCCGTGAGTTGTTTAGATAATTAGGAAAAGGGTTTAAATCCAGAGCTTCTATAGTAGCTTTCTCTGAAAAGACCCTCTGGCCTGCTCCATTGTGGGTATTCCTATCATCCTCTTACCTCACGCACCAATGTAACATAGTGAAGAAAATAGGTTCGGTTTAATAAAATTTAAGTACAGTGGCCAATGTAAGACATTACATAAATGATGGTGACTGAATTTAAACTAGTTCAGTTAATGAAGAACATAGCCACTCTGATGATTTCTAATACTAAGGGGTACATGTGCACAGCCTCGTGCTCTTAAGAGAGACTTTCAGTCGTGGAGCTACAAACCATGTCAGTGATTAATAGCAAAGTGCTGTGAGTTTCTCTAGCTCAGTATGCTAGATGCTGTTGAGAACAGTGGGGATCTAATCAGAGGTAGGGAATATTGAGTCCTCAGCATGTTTGAGAAAGCCTGATCTTAACTAATTCTGATACAGAGCTGCTAATTAAATGCAGAAGATTTTCCCTTTGAGAGCGATGCCTCCTATGGTTCTCTATTTGATTGTTGTCATGATCACTACACTCCTGGGCCTGTTAGGACAGAAAGTTTCATAAGATAACACAGAAACACCATGAGCCAGATTCTGTCTGCAAATTGCATATGTGTAAAGCTGGCATAAGGGGGAAACCTGGGGGAAGTGGTGGAAGGCATTTAAAATGTTAATGCTGTAGGTCTTATTACATCCAGACACTGCAAAACAAAATACAACAGGGAAGAAGTGTTGGACCCATGAGATGGTTATGCAACCCTTCCACAGGTGTTCTTCAAATGAAGCTGCAAAAGGACATTCTGGGACAGACTGGAAGTCTGCACGTTTTAAGACATGAATCCATTGATCAAAGCCCATGTGCCACTACTCTATTTGGTTTCCACCTGCACCTATCAGGAGTAATCTGCACAGGCGTATTGTACATGGGGCAGGGCTGGCCACAATATACAATACCATACTTGGGACCAAGGCTGGTAGAACACAGACTCACAATTGTCATAATTAACATGTGCTGAAAGAATGCCAGAATTTGGCCCTTAATACAAGGTATTAGGTACAACAGTCATAATGTTGGAGCACAGCCATGCTTTGGTTGATTGCATAGTAATTGCGTCTGCCACACTAGTACTTAACATAACAGCATCTGAGTAATAGATGTGAGGGCAGCAATATGTGAGAATTAAAAAAGAAACTAAATTACTTTGATAACATGGATCAAGATACATTAAAAATAACTAGGAGAGTGAATTTAATCTAAAGGTTAAAAGACAGCTGACAAGGTCACTCTCTACTGTTCTCCCAGTGAGTTTGAAGCATGGCAGAGAAATTCAGCCCTTTGGGTTGTATTCTAAACCCTTCAGAAATCAATTGCAGAGCAGAAGCTAGAATATGCCAAATGAACTGTATGTCAGAATGATACAGAGCCTTGCATACAGTTTACATTCCAAAAATTCTGAAGGACTCACATACAGAACCATATTTTCATGGGAGGTTGACACCACTATTTGGTTTTAGCTTTCTGATTATTATCACTGTACTATGGGAATGAATCAATAGTTGTCTCCAGAGACAGTATTTCTCTTTTTTGTAGTGCACAGTACACAAAACAATTTTTTTGTTCTTGAAGCGTTTATTTAAAAAAATAGAGAAGTGAAAAGAGAAAGACAAGAGATGAAACTGCTTTCAGTGCTCTATGCACTTGCTTCACACATCTCTGATTAAAGTAATTTGTACACTATGCATAAGTTGTAAGTATTATTGAAACGTATGACCTTCAAAGAATTAATACATATTGATGCTGACGAATTATAGCCTAGAATGAAAAAGAGGTTTATAGTAAATTGCACTATTACTGCAATCAAAAATTTTAGCTTTTGAAAAGCAAAGGTGTAGAACATACAGCTAAAATAATTGAGGTTCTTCTGAGAGGAGAGTTTGGATGCTTTATGAATGCAAAGCAACCTTTCTGGTGGCATCACATTTAACACAACAGTAACAAAAGTAATTGATTTCATATTTTCTAGTCTTCATTTTTCATTACTGGCCAAAGGCATCAATCATCTCATTTCAATACAAAAAATGACCATTATTACTTATTACTACAAGCAATACTAAAAAGCTTATAGTTTCTTTAATTATCTGGATCTCTCTCAAGTGTTCCCAGAAGCCTTTTTAGTTGTAAGTCAACATTTCACATATACTTGAATGGGTTTTTGTCTTCCTGACACGTTCTACTGCACAGATGGATGAATCCCAAAAGTTCTGAAGTGCAGATTCAGTTAGAGTCACGACCCAAAGCACAGGATGCTTATTCAAATATTATCTCAACTTCCTGATTTTACCAGTCAGTCCTGGAGATCTTAGGAGTACAGATTTCCTTGTAAGATTCTCAGCACTGGTACATGCCAGAAATACTCTTCTGATAAGAACAGCATTTCTTGGGGAAGATCCTCAGCAAAACACTTAAGCATGAATGGAGTTAAGCATGTGCTTAAGTGCTCTGCTGAGTCAGGACCTGAAGGTGGGATTTTCAAAAGCACCTAAGTGATATAGGAGCAGATGTTCCTTTGACTTTCAGTGGGACTCCCAGCTCCTAAGTCACAGAAGCATTTCTGAAAATCCCAATGTTAACCATCAATCAACCCATTTTCATTTTCTTTGTTTTTCCAGAAAGATCATTTTAAAACTGTCTAAGGGAATAAAACCCCTACCTGATGGGAATAAATTATCCATGAAGGTAAATTTACAGACAAGAGGGTTATAACAAACACGTAGCTCGAGAACTGAAAACAGCTGATAACTGGCAAAAAGTATTCCTTAAACCGATTATTTTTTAAAACGATGACACAATTGCTTCTGTGTCAGAGTAGCTTCTTTGTTATATTTGAGTAGAATATAACAAGTGAACGAGTCAAAAAGCAATAATTAAAGTTAAACAGCATATGGGTCATGGGTCTCCTCTCACTCTTGTTTTAGGCTCATGTACCTGCATCAGCTTCAACTGAGTTACTATGGATTTAGGCCCAGATTCAAAACACAGCGCTTAAGCACGTGCTTTATTTTAAAACCCATTCACTGTGTCCTGTGCATTGCCAAATATACTTTCTGTGTACAACAATAAATATTAGTGGTAAGAATGTATGGTGTGGAGCCATAAATTGTCTGCTTTATAATACATATCCACTGCACTATTGAAATTTGGTTAACCATGCATATATATTTTTACCAAAATAGTACACAATATGTCACAGTCACTCAAGAAATAGTGTATTGTGCACTGTATGTACAATATGATTGATAATACTTTCCCCCAAGAGCATTATCCATTCTTTCCTTCATGCCACATGTAAATCCAACTTATGCACAGTGGCTGAGTTTCTATGATTTGCTCTATTTTGTGTAGAGACCTTACAATTCTCTGTAAGCCTGTCAATAGATGAATTGCTCCATTCTGACTGGGATAAAGAAGCAGAACTGACAAAGCTAATATCTTTTCATCTTGATAATGTGGAAATAGAATAAATACAACACCACTCAACCTGCAGTATGCAACCTATCAGATTTGTTTTAATCTACTTTTCCCCCAAGGCAGCACACAAAAACAACCCTGCAGCCTCTCAGCCTTTAATCTTTTCTAATAAAGCATCATTTGAGGGGAATAGCATCAACGCAACAAGACACAGAATGTATTTTTCAACAGGGCTGACCTTCTACCATTTCTACCTTCTAGAAATAACTACTCTTGAAGCCCTACTAGTTGATTAATTATGTCTTACAACTGGAGTCGTCAATTTGCTTTAGTCAGGCAAATAGCAGAATTGAATTCTTGTCAGTATTTTTCAGCCTATCATGACCAATAGTGATAATTTTATATTTGGTTAACAGATTATATGCAGAGCTGACCACGCCATTTGTCATGATACTCTCTCCATGATAAATGTAATCCCTTTGGGGTTTGTAAATGGTTCTCTAAGCAATCTGGATTGCCTTCACATGTATTTGTAATTTGTAAGTGTTCACTTGGGTGAAATTTGTCCCTGTGCAGAGGGCTAGGGCATGGTCTATACGCACCACCTAAATTCACCAAAAATGGCTTTAATAGAAATTTAAGGAGTGCATAAACCCTGTGCTGGCCCTGTCCATGGGGTGAATTTTATGCATGCTAATTTGGACAAATAATTTTCAGAGTATGGGAGACTCAGTTTGGCTATTTGCTAGTGTTATTCAATGTGTGACTGGTCATCAGATTATCTTCATGGCAAATCCCAAAGGGACTCAGCCTCCTTGCAGATGGAGCACCACCCAGATTGATCTCTAGCTAGATCCTTAAGGGGTCTGGATGGGTATTCAGTTTATGTCAGTCACTGGCGATCTTATCTCACCACTGAAGCTTTGGTGCCCACGTGATTGCCAGTCATGTAGCAGCATTCCTTGGTAAATGAGCTTTGGAATTGGTTGGTCTTCCATTCTAATACGTCTGAACCAAGAAAGCCCCTGAAACCAAACCAGTGCTGATGGAGGTGATTGCTGGGCTTGGCTGCGAACATTCTCATTTGCTGATCCTATCCTGCCACTTAACATGGAGCAACTGACAAAGATGATGAGAATCAAAAATGTCAATCTGCTGCTCTTCACCCTTCCTCAGTGCCCATTTTTCACTGCTGTCCATGGAGTTAGTATAACCATGGCTTTATAGAGCCCACATCTAGTAGCAAGTTTGACGCCATGACATCCCCCTGGAGGCTCCTAAAGGGCCCGAAACATTGCAGCAGCTTCTGCTGTAGGAGTCATCTAAGTCACATGGTATCTTCTTACTATTAATATTGAGGTAGCACCTAGTGGTCAACTGGATTTAAGTACTTAGGTGCTTTGCCAAAGGAGGACTGTAATCTATTGCTGTTATAAGACAGTTATTCTATATTCTTCCTTTTTCAGACCACGTCTATGGACAAGCTACTGGCATAACTGATACATCATTGACCTGTCCACACTTTAGTTAGGAGAGCTCAGAGGAAGGATGTCATCCATGGGACGGAAGGACAATATCCTATGATGTGACTCTTTAAGGGAGAACGAACCACCGGCTACACACTCTCCTTGCATTGTAATAACAACATTTGTATTTTTGCACTGTGGCATGCTGAATGCTCCTTTCCTACTAGAGCTGCAAGAGCTCTGCTTTTAAATTATACTGAGACATGCTATACTATAACAGGTCTTTATGGTATTTTTACAACAGAAAGTGATATGGTTATAAAAAGCAAGGCTGACAGGAGAAATAACTTGACAGGCATCTGTTTCCTCTCTACTGGCCAGTAGGCACTGGTATAGTGTAAACAAGAAAAACAGGCTTTGTGTACTGTATTTACAGGCTCTAACAGTTATTTCTATACCACAAGGACCACCTGTTGTTTTGTGAACACATTTGTTCAGACTAGCACTTGTAATGGAAAGATAGATGGTTAGCAATAATTTTGTGACACTTGCCTACTGCAGGGTTTTTTGCACCTATCCCTAAAGCAGCTGTCTAACAGAGACAAAAAACTGGAATAGAGGGACCCCTGGTCTGATCCAGCATGGTAGTTCCTTTATCTCTGTATCATATGATCCCATTGTTATAATCGGAGAGACCAACAAGGTTACAGCAAATCTGTTTACTGCTGCTTATTATTATGGATTGCTAGTTCTTTTGCTAGTATTCAAAAGCCCCAGTCAAGATCAGGGCTCCATATGCTAGCTGCTGTACAAAACACTTAGTCAGCCAATGACGCAACCAGCTGGGCAAAGATGAAAAGATTTTTCTTGAATATCCATTCAAGTTTGAAAATTAACTTTTGATTGGACCATTTTTGCAATCCATTTGTATTTACTTCTATTATAAAAAAGCAGAAGTTTTCATGCTTTTGGTGTTTGCAAAAACAACCTGTCTTTGTAGTTTTCAGGTGTTTAACCAGGGTCAAAACAGGGACAGAAAGTGATGGTACCAGTTTCAAGTTCCACCTCAATTTCAATGCTTGGAAGTTTTTGCTGAAGGTATCATAGGTTACTTTTCAGAGGAACAGCCGTGTTAGTCTGTATTCGCAAAAAGAAAAGGAGGACTTGTGGCACCTTAGAGACTAACCAATTTATTTGAGCATGAGCTTTCGTGAGCTACAGCTCACTTCATCACTTTATCGCTTCTAGTTTAATGCTAAGATAAATCACACTTTTCACACTTTATTTAAAACCATCGTTCCAGTATATATGCAGCCTGAAAACAAGTGCTACACTAGGACATAGTTGGAGGGCTTTCTTTATAAACAGAAAGACTAGAAACTCTCTGAAGAAATACAGGACTTCTATACAAGCGTGTCAGGATAGCATATCACAGTGAAGTAGATCAAACTGACCTCTGCTTATAAGTAAGCTCAAGAGAGAGCTACTGAGTGCTTTGTACATTGCACAATAATGAATATTACTCCTTAATTACGGAAGCATTTCAAATGGCCAATGAGATCAAAGATAATTTTATTATTAAGTCCTAATTTTGTACTGCTGTGGTTTTTCTTTATGAGTCTTTGAAGAATATTATACAAAACAGATGGGAAGGACCTCATACCCACTGCCATAAATAAGTTTTATGTCCAAACTTTCTGAACATTTCACTAGAAAGCACAGTGGTAATTCTACCAGACGTTAAAGTTTGCTTAAAAATACACAGCAACATTTTGAAATGCCTTGAGAGGAGATTTAATGAGAGAAATCAGAAAGAGAAGATTAAACTAAAAAAGAGAAAAGGGGATACTGAAACGTCTGCCAAATGGTTTATTAGTGGTGTGGGGTGAAGGGACGGAGAGAGAGAAAGCTTTGCTTTCATAATGTGGTTCCAAGAGGAAACACTTGATAAGTAACTGCAGTAGGTAAATGTGGCAAAGTAAAATATTTAAGTGATCACTCTACTGCACATATTAAGTATAAATGATGCATTGTAATGTGCCATGTATTTTTAATGACTGTCCTCTGGTCAGTCATAATAGTTTCGTAACAGATGTAGCTTATTTGAACAATTCTGGAAGAAGAGGAGGAAAGATTTGTCCTTTGTCGAGATGATAAGAAAAATAGGACCGAGGTTGCTTTACTTTTTTCAGATTAAGAAAAGACATGATTAAGGGATGCAATAATTTCAAAGAAGTTCCTGAGCCTATGTCAAGGTACCTTCCCCACTCCGAAATCTAGGGTACAGATGTGGGGACCTGCATGAAAGACCCCCTAAGATTATTCTTACCAGCTTAGGTTAAAACTTCCCCAAGGTACAAACTTTTACCTTTTGTCCTTGGACCTTATGCTGCCACCACCAAGTGTGTTAAACAAAGAACAGGGAAAGAGACCACTTGGAGACATCTTCCCTCCAAATATCCCCCCCCCCCAAGTCCTACACCCCCTTTCCTGGGGAAGGCTTGATAAAAATCCTCACCAATTTGCATAGGTGAACACAGACCCAAACTCTTGGATCTTAAGAACAATGAAAAAGCAATCAGGTTCTTAAAAGAGAGTTTTAGTTAAAGAAAAAGTAAAAGAATCACCTCTGTAAAATCAGGATGGTAAATACCTTACAGGGTAATCAGATTCAAAACATAGAGAATCCCTCTAGGCAAAACCTTACGTTACAAAAAGACACAAAAACAGGAATATACATCCCATTCAGCACAACTTATTTTATCAACCATTTAAACAAAACAGAATCTAACGCATATCTAGCTAGATTGCTTACTAACTGTTTATAGGAGTTCTGACCTGCATTCATGCTCTGGTCCCGGCAAAAGCATCACACACACAGACAGAACCTTTGTTTCCTCCCCCACCTTCAGCTTTGAAAGTAACTTGTCTCCTCATTGGTTATTTTGGTCAGGTGCCAGCGAGGTTATCTTAGCTTCTTAACCCTTTATAGGTGAAAGTGTTTTGCCTCTGGCCAGGAGGGATTTTATAGTTTTGTATACAGAAAGATGGTTACCCTTCCCTTTATATTTATGACAGCCTATTTCATTGCAGCAGGGATAAATAGGATAACGGATAGAGATGGTAGAGACTGCAGGATGATGAGAATCTGAAGATGGGAGCTGAGAGAAAGTACTGGATTTTAACTGCATCCTCAAACCATAGATGTACACTCTATAGGTACAGGCATAAAAGCAGCATCTATTCTTAGGAGTGGTTATGATTAAGTTAAGCTCAATTAAAGTAGCCATTCTACTGAAGAAACTACCAACATTTGGTACCTCTATGTTTCTGATTGCATATTTGTTTCTTGTCTAAAATATCATGGCCTACTAAAATGACACAAGAAAAGGAAAAGGTTGTATAATGGAGACTGGTTTCATAAGGTTAAATGCATAAAATAACTTTCCACTGAAAAGTCACCATTTTTGCTCTCTTGTTGTGAAGTTTAGTCCAAGTGTTTTAATTTTAGCACGCCTAGTAAATGATAAACATAAATGATAAACAAAATGAGAACCTAAGTAATAAAATGCTTCTCAACCTTGGATAATTCTCTCATAGTGAGGAAAACTTAAAGCCATAATTAAGCCAAATTCACCCATATAGGCCTATTGTCTCTCTCTACATAGCTGCTGAAATCTTTGGCTCTTGGGCAGAAACTGCATTTATTAAAGTAGGATATAAAAGGTTCTTCCAAGTAATAGGAAATGCTGGGCTCTGCCTGGATTTTGTTTGGAAATTAAAGCTGTTCCCTGAGTTCACTGGTAGTTTCAGTTTTGCTGGGAAGGCAGTATCAGGCTGAAAATGAAGTGGCATCAAATCCACAGTGGCAAATCTCTCTCTCTCTAATTGGGAAAATATAAAGTTCTTAGAAGAAGTAAGATGATCTTACCACAAAAGTATCTTTCTGAATGATAGAAGCTATAGAAAAGTACATGGAGAAAAACCTATTTAAAAGGAGAATAGCGCCCATTTTACCCATTTCTGAAGTGTGCAAGTTTCACACTTTAAAGTACTATTCACCAAATATTTTTTTAAAAAGACCCTGATTCTCCATTGCCTTGCACCTTGGATGGTCTTTTACATATACATAAAGTGGGTATAAAATGCTAAAATGCTAATGGGTGGAGAATTCTGATTTGATAACATTTTATACTCATTTTGCACAGATGCAAGGCTCCAACTCAGCAAAGCACTTAAGCATGTGCCTACTTTGAAGTATGTGCTTAAGACCCATTGGCTTTAAGATGAACAATACTTTTCAATATTTGACTTGGGCCTTTGACTTCAGTGGGACTTTTAAACAGAGGCTTATGTGTTTTGCTGAACTGGAGTCTAAATGACTAAGGTTAAGGTAGTGGAGAATCAGGCCCAAGATATTTAGTTACACATGTTTTTCTGAAGTTGTGGTTGAAAACTGATATCATTTGTGACACCTGCATTAGAATCATAGAATAACAGAGTTGGAAGGGACCTCTGGAGGCCATCTAGTCCAATCCCCTGCCCAAAGCAGGACCAATCCCAACTAAATCATCCCAGCCAGGGCTTTGTCAAGCCTGACCTTAAAAACTTCTAAGGAAGGGGATTCCACCACCTCCGTAGGTAATGCATTCCAGTGTTTCACCACCCTCCTAGTGAAAAAGTTTTTCCTAATATCCAACCTAAATCTCCCACACTGCAACTTGAGACCATTACTCCTTGTCCTGTCATCTGCTACCACTGAGAATAGTCTAGATCCATCCTCTTTGGATCCACCTTTCAGGTAGTTAAAAGCAGCTATCAAATCCCCCCTCATTCTTCTCTTCTGCAGACTAAACAATCCCAGTTCCCTCAGCCTCTCCTCATAAGTCATGTGTTCCAGACCCCTAATCATTTTTGTTGCCCTTCACTGGACGCTCTCCAATTTCTCCGCATCCTTCTTGTAGTGTTGGGCCAGAACTGGACACAGTACTCCAGATGAGGCCTCACCAGTGTCGAATAGAGGGGAACGATCACATCTCTCGATCTGCTGGCAATGCCCCTACTTATACACCCGAAAATGCCATTGGCCTTCTTGGCAACAAGGGCACACTGTTGACTCATACCCAGCTTCTCGTCCACTGTCACCCCTAGGTCCTTCTCTGCAGAACTGCTGCTTAGCCATTCGGTCCCTAGTCTGTAGCGGTGCATTGGATTCTTCCGTCCTAAGTGCAGGACTCCGCACTTGAACCTCATCAGATTTCTTTTGGCCCAATCCTCCAATTTGTCTAGGGCCCTCTATATCCTATCCCTACCCTCCAGTGTATCTACCACTCCTCCCAGTTTAGTGTCATCCGCAAACTTGCTGAGGGTGCAATCCACACCATCCTCCAGATCATTAATGAAGATATTGAACAAAACCGGCCCCAGGACCGACCTTTGGGGCACTAGATACCGGCTGCCAACTAGACATGGAGCCATTGATCACTACCCTTTGAGCCCGACAATCTAGCCAACTTTCTACCCACCTTGTAGTGCATCCATCCAGCCCATACTTTTTTAACTTGCTGACAAGAATACTGTGGGAGACCGTGTCAAAAGCTTTGCTAAAGTCGAGGAATAACACGTCCACTGCTTTCCCTTCATCCACAGAACCAGTTATCTCATCATAGAAGGCAATTAGATTAGTCAGGCATGACTTTCCCTTGGTGAATCTATGCTAACTGTTCCTGATCACTTTCCTCTCGTCTAAGTGCTTCAGAATTGAGTCCTTGAGGACATGCTCCATGATTTTTCCGGGGACTGAGGTGAGGCTGACCAGCCTGTAGTTCCCAGGATCCTCCTTCTTCCCTTTTTCAAAGATGGGCACTACTTTAGCCTTTTTCCAATCTTTCAGGACTTCCCCCAATCGCCATGATTTTTCAAAGATAATGTCCAATGGCTCTGCAATCACATCCGCCAATTCCTTTAGCACTCTCGGATGCAACGCATCTGGCCCCATGGACTTGTGCATGTCCAGTTTTTCTAAATAGTCCTGAACCATTTCTTCCTCCACAGAGGGCTGGCCACCTCCTCCCCATGCTGTGCTGCCCAGTGCAGTAGTCTGGGAGCTGACCTTGTTAGTGAAGACAGAGGCAAAAAAAGCATTGAGTACATTAGCTTTTTCCACATCCTCTGTCACTAGGTTGCCTCCCTCATTCAGTAAGGGGCCCACACTTTCCCTGGCTTTCTTCTTATTGCCAACATACCTGAAGAAACCCTTCTTGTTACTCTTAACATCCCTCACTAGCTGCAACTCCAGGTATGATTTAGCCTTCCTGATTTCATTCTTACATGCCCGAGCAATATTTATATACTCATCCCTGGTCATTTGTCCAATCTTCCACTTCTTATAAGCCTCTTTTTTGTGTTTAAGATCAGCAAGGATTTCACTGTTAAGCCAAGCTGGTCGCCTGCCATATTTACTATTCTTTCTACACATTGGGACGGTTTGTCCCTGTAACCTCAATAAGGATTCTTTAAAATACAGCCAGCTCTCCTGGACTCCTTTCCCCCTCATGTTATTCTCCCAGGGGATCTTGCCCATCAGTTCCCTGAGGGAGTCAAAGTCTGCTTTTCTGAAGTCCAGGGTCCGTATTCTGCTGCTTTCCTTTCTTCCTTGTGTCAGGATCCTGAACTCGACCATCTCATGGTCACTGCCTCCCAGGTTCCCATCCACTTTTGCTTCCCCTACTAATTCTTCCCGGTTTGTGAGCAGCAGGTCAAGAAGAGCTCAGCCCCTAGTTGGTTTCTCCAGCACTTGCACCAGGAAATTGTCCCCTACACTTTCCAAAAACTTCCTGGATTGTCTGTGCACCGCTGTATTGCTCTCCCAGCAGATATCAGGATGATTGAAGTCGCCCATGAGAACCAGGGCGTGCGATCTAGTAGCTTCTGCGAGTTGCCGGAAGAAAGCCTCGTCCACCTCATCCCCCTGGTCCGGTGGTCTATAGCAGACTCCCATCACGACATCACCCTTGTTGCTCACGCTTCTAAACTTAATCCAGAGACTCTCAGGTTTTTCTGCAGTTTCATACTTGAGCTCTGAGCAGTCATACTGCTCCCTTACATACAGTGCAACTCCCCCACCTTTTCTGGCCTCCCTGTCCTTTCTGAACAGTTTATACCCATCCATGACAGTTTCCATCCTATTTAAATAGTTTAACAATCAGAAGAACGTAAGTATTTAAACATTAAGCATTTCTGTTAAATATTTAACAATAAGAGTTATCCTCTTGGTTCTTTTAATCTGTATTCAGCTTTCATAACATTAAAAATGAACTAAGAAAGTTTCAGCATGAAATATTTACATCGCTTAAATAGGAAACAGAAATTGGGAGCAGAACATCAGGGACACCACCTCATTTGTGTAACTATTTCAGACTGTGACTGTAAAAGAAACTATGACAGGTTTCTAGAATGGCTGGCTCACAGTCTCAGATAAGCATCATCTCTGACACAACTGATGAACAAACCACAGCATGGACAGAGGATCAATCTGGTTAAAACCCCAAAAGTTTAGGTTAGTTCATTTTGAGCTGTGTGCAAACAGATGGACAAGTTCATAAATCATCTGAATTGGTTCACCCGGCTCTAGTTAATAGTTCTAGCATTTGTTTACTTTATGATTAAAAAGGAGATTTTGATTTTAAATTCTTTTTAGGCTACAAATGCTGAAACGGGTAGTGCAGGTTTCTTTGGGGGAGTGATAGGTGAAGTTCAACAAGTTCAGTTTGGATAAAGCAGCCAACAGTTTGGAAGCCTGTCTGATAGGGCTTGTCTACATGGCCCCACAGTTCAGACTCTGGGAGTGCAAATTGCTGTGCTGTAACTCCCCAGTGTGCATGTAACAGGCATGAACCAAAGGACCCAAGTTCACATTAATTTAGTCCTCTTTAAACAGGACTATATTAATATGAAGTAGGTACCTTTTAGTTTGCACCCACAATGGCCACAAGGGAGAGATACTGTGCAACACACTAGTGTGTGCTGCAAATCCCCTGGTCCGAACTGTGGGGCTGTGTAGACATAGCCTAAATCTTTTAACAGTGAAGAAATCAATAAGGAAATCTCAACAGACCAAGCTTTCACACAAAGTTACTTTTCAATTTCAGCCAACTGGAAAATCCTGAGAAAATAGCTTCTCAATGGGCCATATTATACCATCACTTTGACTAGCATGTCAAGTTCTAGGTAACTCATCTCAAAAAGGATATAACTGAAAGAGAAGCTGTCCAGAGAGGACAATGGCAATTATTACAGGCCTAGAAAGATTGCCACATCAGGTGAGATTTTAAAGACTGGATCTATTTCGTTTAGACAGCTGATTACTAAGAAGGGACATAGCAGAGGCATATAAAATAAGAGAGGTAGAGAAAAGGTCTCTTGTACATTTTTGTTCATCTTTTTTCAGAATAGGAAAATAAAGGGGAACACAATGAAATTAAAAGGTGACACGTTTAAAACTCATAACACAACATGTAATTACCCAGTGGAACTCAAAGCCACAAGATATTGAGACAAGGACCCAAGTAGGAATCAAAAAAGGATTAGCCCTTTGTATGAATAATGCAAATATCCTCAGCGGCATTCATTGGGATAAAAATATATAAGGGATATACATGTTTATGGTTCAAGGCTTACGCCAACAAAAGCTAGCTGCCTGAGGTTAGGTGGAAACTTCCCCATGGGCATGTTACAGCTTAAATGTCCATTATAAGGGGTTTAAAACCTTTCTTGCAAATATCTGGAACTGGCCAAAACCAGACAAGATATTGGACTATATGCAGTGTTGGCCTGGTCTGCTATGGCATTTCCTGAGTTCCTGATTTGAAATGGAGTCTCCTAGAGATAATGTGGAATCCCCCCCCCCCCCCCACACACACACACCATGCTGCTTTTTACCAACTCACTTTTTAGAGTATAACTGCCCAATACCGCAAGACCAGGGCAAGCAGGAACCCTCACACATGAACCCTGGCTCCCAGTGGTGTACACTCCAAGCTCATGCACTAAGCAGAAACAATAATTTCCTCTCTAAATCACAAAACGAGACCTTTATCTATCAGAATGGTGTACAAAAATTCCTGCATTTCTTTTTGAAGAGAAGCTTTGTAAGCATGGTCTCATTCTGATACATAGCAGTCTAACGTATATTGCTTATTCCCTGCCCATAAAAGAAATGATTATGCCCTAGGGGGTGACACCAGCTATTCATGACCGAAAAGCCATCAAGTCAATGGAGTACTTCTACTAAGTCAACCCAGTGAGTAATCCCACCATGACACAAAGCGTCTCATTAACTGCTGTATCTACTGTATCTTATTTCAGAGGACTGTTCACTGTTATGACAACATTTTGGATCCATGTTTTGTACCGTCCCTCCTTATTTTTGTAACAGATCTCTCATTGGGAAGTAGACCCAGGAGTCAGGAAACCTAAGCTCTATTCTCAGCTTTGACTTCAGGCAAGTCACATTAACTCTCTATGCCTCAATTCCCCTATGTGCAAAACAGGGACAATGATACTTACTATCCTTTGTAAAGTGCTTTGACATGTATGGACAAAAAAGTGCTATACAGCAGCTAAACAACCCCCTGCCCTGTTAATCTCTTTGGATTACAGGAGGCTGTGCTATTATGATGTTATTTCCTTGTATATTTTAAATTATTCTTTATCGTTTTCTCCAGGATCTTAAGTGCCCCAAAGTGGGCTGCGCAGCTTTCTGAATAAAACACCAGCCGGGGCCGGGGCTGGGCCAGGTGCACGCCGCTGCCACCCCGGAGCCGCTTTAGGTAAGCGACGCCGGGCCAAAGCCCGAACCCCTCCTGCACCCCCGCCCCACAACTCCCTGCCTGCAGCTTGAACCCCTCCTGCACCCCAGCCCCCTGCCCTGAGCCCCCTGCCTGCACCTCGTACCCCTCCTGCCCTGAGTCCCTGCTGTGCCCCGCACCCCCATGCACCTCAACCCCCTGCCCTGAGCCCCCTGCCTGCACCTTGTACCCCTACTGCACCCAACCCCCTGCCCTGAGCCCTTGCCACACCCCTGTGCACCCCAAATCACTGCCCTGAGCCCCCTGCCGCACCCTGCACCCCAGCCCCCTGCCCTGAGCTCCCTCCCGCAGTCTGTGCCCCTCCTGCACCCCAACCCTCTTCCCTGAGCCCCCTCATACACCCCACACCCCTCCTCTGCCCCAATCCCTTGCCCTGAGCCCGTTCCGGCACACTGCACCCCCTCCCACACCCCCAACCCCCTGCCCCAGCCCTGCATACAATTTCCCCACCCAGATGTGGCCCTCGGCCCAAAAAGTTTGCCCACCCCTGCGCTAGACATACAAACAGTGTTTATCCTGATAAAGGAGCAAGGAAAGAAAAGTGTGTGTGTCTCACTGGCAGGTTCACATGGTCCTCCAATGTTCATTGCTATAGCTTTTTCCCTCCCCCATTTGACACTTATCTTTATCTGCTTTAGTGCACATTATCCTGGTGGCTGCTAGGTTTAAAACTGTCAGTTTTATGAATAAAGAAATTTCTTCCCTTCCATTTGTCTTGAAGAGGGGAATATTAATATGCAAAAAGCACTATAAATTACATCTGGGGTTTGGAAACTAACTTACCCAGTAGTATTCTGCAATAAAATTGGAAATATATATTATAAATTTGGGTTAAAAAAAAAGAGGGGATGGGAGGACAGGACTCACTTTTCATTAAAGCTGCAGTGATGGATTTGGCCACAGCCTTCCCATCAGTTACTTGAGAGACTTGAACTTCAGAGGATGAAATAGGGACACTCCATCGGTTTGGAGCAGTGGGTATCCTATCACATGGCTGTATATCCAAAGAAAAACCTCCATCCCGATTGAGGTTTATCTGTCACTAACCTTTTAAAATCTTACTGATATCATAGGTTTCAGAGTAACAGCCGTGTTAGTCTGTATTCGCAAAAAGAAAAGGAGTACTTGTGGCACCTTAGAGACTAACCAATTTATTTGAGCATAAGCTTTTGTGAGCTACAGCTCACTTCATCGGATGCATACTGTGGACAGTGTAGAAGATCTTTTTATACACCCAAAGCATGAAAAAATACCTCTTACCCCTGTAAATTTATTTGAACAAAAATACCTCTTCCCACCCCACTCTCCTGCTGATAATAGCTTATCTAAAGTGATCACTCTCCTTACAATGTGTATGATAATCAAGTTGGGCCATTTCCAGCACAAATCCAGGTTTTCTCACCCTCCCCCCCCCCCCCCCAAATCCACTCTCCTGCTGGTAATAGCTTATCTAAAATGACCACTCTCCTTACAATGTGTATGATAATCAAGGTGGGCCATTTCCAGCACAAATCCAGGGTTTAACAAGAACGTCTCGGGGGAGGGGGGGGAAGTGGGGGGTAGGAAAAAACAAGGGGAAATAGGTTACCTTGCATAATAACTTAGGCTTGAATAGAGACTGGGAGTGGCTAAGTCATTATGCAAGGTAACCTATTTCCCCTTGTTTTTTCCCTTCCCCCAGCCAAGCAAGGGGCTCTTTCCTTTAGTCTTGGAGTTGAGAGCTGAGGTGAAATCTGAGGGTTCAAAGGGCACCCCCAAAAAGCCAGGACTCTTTAGCAGAGTCCCAGGTTCTCCACACAACTCCATGGATCTTTCCTTTGGTTCGCCACCTCTACTATTTCACTCAATATAATCAGAATGATTGACACCTATCGGATACCTTTTATCCAAAGATCACAGTGATTCATATAAACTTTATCCACTAATTACATACTTTGGCCTAAATTCTCTGCCTTAATCCATCTTCAAAAGATACTCTGCTCTTCTTACATGTACAGAATCCCCATGGGCACTGCCTTTAAAAGATGTACAGCAGCACTACCTAATTCCTGACAGAAAGCAAAGATCAGTGCTTCCAGTGGAAAACATCCCCAGTTTCTCAGTAGGGAAGATGTGAAATTAAGAACATAAGATTGTTTCTCTTCTTAATGCATTATTCAACATGCTGGCCTAATTGTACTCAGGTACACCCATTCAGCCCCATTTGACTTCAATGGGGTTAAATGGGTGTAACAGAGAAGAATAGTAGGGTCAAATTCAGGGGTGACATAAATGGTGGTATAAATTGATACACATGGTGGCACAGCAGTGAAGGGGCAAAGCAGGGCTGAGTAGAGTGCAATCCAGTGACACTCTAATGCCAACCAGAAGAGGACACAGGTGGCACATAGGGTTTTACAGAGATTCCCTGAGTTGGATAGCTGCATAATAGTTCATCGAGGGATGGCATGCAAGGTTTCTACTCAGAGCCAGTAGCCCACTGATCATCATAATCATTTCAAAATGTGTACATGGATAATATTTAAGGAGTTATGTATTTATACTGAAAATTATGCCCTTAAAGTCTTGGAGTTAAGGCAGGTCACCAGGAGATGACGTACCTCGGAAATATTCTTTTCAGGCAAGAGGAAATGGACCCCTGTCTGGCTATTTGGGTACTGTGCATTGTACAGCTCAAGCTGCATGCCTATTTACATATTGAGCCAGGCGTGAACTGAGAGATGGCAAAATCCACAAGAAAGGAAATCTACACGATGAAACAAACAGCGGTAGAGTGTATTGTTTATGCATAAAGACAATGGATTGGTCTGGTATATCTTGGAGGGCAAAGAGACACAGAATCCTTCACCTAGAAAGCAAATTGACAGAGTAATGTCTTATGAAAGAAGGGTCACAACCCACCTGGCTTTAAAGTATTACAAGGATCCTTTAAAGGCAGTGCCCCTGGGGATTCTGTATGTGTGAGCAATACCTGGTTAGATTTGAGAATATCTTGTTAATTAAGCCTAGTCTCTAGAATGCATGTCACGATTTTATTTTATAGGTAGCCATTTGTTTCCAATACTTCTACTTGCCCCCAAAATCTCTATGCTTTATTAAACAAACGTATATTTGATTTCACAATAAATCTAAGTGCTGTGAGTTCAGCAGAGCAGTGATCTGAGGTGGAACTGGCAAGCTAGGGGATGCACTATTTTTTGGAAGCAACGGCTCAGTGAATACTGTGAGTATCCAGCAGACCGGGGGCTGGACACTCCAAGGGGACACTGGATGGGGTTGAGCATTGGAGTGTGCCTATCACTAACCCGCAGAGGGATTGTGGGTCCTGCTAGGCCAAGAGGAGGATGCTTGCATTGCCTGTGGCTGGTAGAGTTGGGGACCTGACCCCCAGCAGGCACAGACAAGGCTTTCTTATGCTAAGGGCAGGTGGTAGTGAGGTGCCTCACAGGCCTGGGTACTCCCAGGAAATGTCACAGACCGTAACAGAAAAAGAAACTAATAGGAGAAGGTAAGCAGCATCCCCTTCCCACTAGCACAGCCTCAGCCACACACACAGTGAGTTACATCCTCCTGCTGTTTGTTTTTTCTGCCAATTTACAGAAGTTACACGCACTCACCCTGATTTACTTACATGTAATCTCTCTGGATTTAGCTCTAGGGACAGATCCCCAGCAAACATAAATCGGTGTGACTGCATTGACGCCAGTAGACCTAAACCACTTTACAGTAGCTGGGAACATGGCCCCAGGCATCTTAAATATGCTTTTTGAAAGTTTCACTCAAAAGTAATTTCATCTGAACTTTATTTTATTAAAAAAAAACATACACTCAAGTCCTAGGTGGCTCATTGAATGGGAGCTTCTGTACTTTCATCCTCTGTGGGTCAGAGGCGCGTTGGGAGCTGAAGCATGAGATTAATACTGGAAGGTCTGGGTCTCAGCAGGGGCATTTCAAGAGGTCACTTCCCTCGCAAATGATGATATGGACTAGCCACTGCCACTGGGGAGCAATGGAAAACTGAATTGAAAATCATAGCATGAGCTGCAAGTCCTCTCTGTGGGGAACCATAATTCTTGAATTTATTAAGATAGCTGTTGAGACACCTACAATTGAGCTTTCCTCTTTCCTTCATAAAAAGGATGCTAATGGATTAGATAATCAGCATCTGATACATTTCTGCATGAGATTGGGAGTTTGTTGCCTTTCTCTCTGGTTCTATTTTACAAAAACAAACCAAGAAACAAAAAAACACACCCTTTTTAATGTGAAAGCAATTTGGAATCATAATTTGTTTTTAAAATATATGACTTGCTGTATAAAAACAAACTCCAGGCTATACAAATATTTAGTGGATCACATGTTAAACATGAGTCAGCAGTGTGACACTGTTGCAAAAAAAAGCAAAGATCATTCTGGGATGTATTAGCAGGAGTGTTCTAAACCAGACACGAAAAGTAATTCTTCTGCTGTATTCTGTGCTGATTAGGCTGGAGTATTGTGTCCAGTTCTGAGTGCCACATTTCCAAAAAGATGTACAAATTGGAGAAAGTCCAGAGAAGAGTGACAAAAATTATTAAAAAGAAAAGGTGGACTTGTGGCACCTTAGAGACTAACAAATTTATTTGAGCATAAGCTTTTGTGAGCTACAGCTCACTTCATCGGATGGACTAGAAAACATGACCTATGAGGAAAGATTGAAAAAATTGGGTTTGTTTAGTCTGGGGAAGAGAAGACTGAGAGGGGACATGATAACAGTTTTCAAGTACATAAAAAGTTGTTCCAAGGAGGAGAGAGGTAAATTGTTCTTATTAACCTCTGAGTATAGGACAAGAAGCAGTGGGCTTAAATTGTAGCTAGGGGGTTTAGGTTGGACATTAGGAAAAACTTTCTAATTGTCAGGGTAATCAAGCACTAGAATAAATTGCCCAGGAAGGTTATGGAATCTCCCTCATTGGAGATTTTTAAGAGCAGGTTAGACAAACACCTGTCAGGGATGGTCTAGATAATACTTAGTCCTGCCATGAGTGCAGGGGACTGGACTGATGACCTCTCTAGGTCACTTCCAGTCCTACGATTCTATGATTTTTTGCATCTTCCTGTGTCAATTGTACAATTTGCTCTGGTTCTAGTACACTGGTAGTAAGACAGTGGGGAAAACTTTCAGAGTCTGATCCAGCAGTGTGTTACTCAAGGTATATGGTGGCATAACTATTGATTTGAATGGAGTTGCTCCAGTGTAGAACAGGGATAATGCTGTCGTGAACCAAGTCCTGTGTATTCGTGTTGCATGAACAAATCATTGGGTTGTCTGATCAGACTGCTCTTTAGTTAGAACCTGCCAAGGGAACTTCCCACTATACTTTGCTACCCATTATCCATTGCTAGTAAATAATGTGGCTAAAGCCAATATATTGTATGTGTTAGGTTCTTAATTTCCTGTATTTTTCATCTCCCTGAATATCTAAATGGTATTCTTTAAAACGAATGCCTAGAACGGACCTCTACCATTATCACCGATAGAATTCATATTCTAGAGCTAGAACAGACCAAGAAGCTATCCAGTCTGGTATCCAGTCTTTGACTGCAGTCAGTGCTGGAAAGCATAAAGTCCACATAACACACACACTTGGGCTAAGGGTTAGGCCTGGTCAGCAGTACTTGGACGAGATATCTCCAAGGGCAACCCGTGTGCTGCGGACAGTGACGCTGGTGATTCAGCGGGTGGCCTGGAGTCAGAATCAGTGCTTCACAGTCTGAGTTCTATGGCAACATCCAGCACGCTTGAGAGCATGCATATCTAAGTACATGAGTGTTCCCATGGATTTCAATAGGGCTATTCAGAATGTGCTTAAGTGCCGCACTAGATTGGGGAAGTGCTGTCTTTTAGATCAGATATAAAACCCAAACAGGGTTACACAGCACAGGGGTCAGAGTGTTTGAACTCTGTCTTCACGCATGGTCCCACCTGCACGGTAAGCTGTGGGGAGCTGCACCCGTGGTAACATAACATGGGAACTTTCCGGAACAGTTCCAGCTTGGACACAACCTTATTTAGAGCAGATATTGTAGCCACTAGTAACAATCCCAAGGGAGTGGCAGACTTTTTCCACTGCCATAAAAAATTTCAGTACCAGTGCCATAAACCTAACAGCTCTGAAGGCGGAGTTCTTATTTTCTCTTGTACATAAGTTCAATATCTAGAGGGAAAATAAAAATAAGCAATGCCCATCATTTGACCTACTGTCTTTGTAGTCAGACCAAACTCCTTTTTTCTTTTAATATTGACTCATTCTGGCTCCATTTCACTCTCTGTGTGAGAGAAATGTCATTTGAATTGAATTTCAATTAATTGAATTAAAACATTTCCGATAATGTTTAACTGTGCTCACTGCTGCTGACCGTGCTGCCCTCATTTTAATTACAATCTCGGGAATTTTTCTTATGGTTATTCTTCTTTCTGGCTCCAAACTTTTCTGAAGATTGGGACATGGAGAGGATGTAAGAGAAGGGAAACAAATACATGGCTCAGTCATAGGTATCTAAAGACTATTTAAGCCCAAGAATTGATTTATATCTTTGCAATATTTTAATGCACCAATAGATAATAAAAATGACATTCTCTAAGGGTATAAATCAGGAAGTCTTGAAAATAGCAGCCATGATACCAATTCTTCTTTGTGCCTTAATATTTTTTGAAAGTTTAGATCACTAGGAAAGCCTGAGGAGATATACTTCTCATTTTTATGAGACTCGCAGGTATACAATATAGGCTGACAAAGGGAATTTGAAAAGCCAGATATTTTCCTCTCAGTTGGCTTCTCCCCAACCCTTGGTTTTCTCTCTACCATTTGGAGATTAGGATGATAGATGGATAGACAGATAGATCTAACCACTTTTAAAAAAAATCAGGAAATAAACTATGCCTTACTTAGGTGAATTCAGACAACGACGTGACCTACTAACTTAAGTACTGACTTCTTTGTGGTCTACCTTGTCTCATGCTCAAATAAATTGGTTAGTCTCTAAGGTGCCACAAGTACTCCTTTTCTTTTTGCGAATAGAGACTAACACGGCTGTTACTCTGAAATCTACCTTGTCTCTGTATTCCTCTCTACTCTATTAATTGCCTATTTATATCTCTTTATTGCACCACCAAGAGTTCTGAGAACCAAAGTAATCCTCCAAAAGCCTGAGACTAAAAAAACATGGCCCAAAGAGGGCACAATGGCAATTGTGCAATTTTGCTCCAGCAGGAATTGGTTGGACTACATGTAATGACATTTTTAAAGAACTTTCAAATAAATCAGTAAAGCTGAGGTATATGTCTCAGAAACACAGTGACTGGCGTACACTAACAATATAATGCAGGATGTTGCCTAAAGTAGCAAGCAACAGCATTGAGCAATACCAATTTCAGTTACCTGTAATAATCCTAGATTGTTTTATATTGGATCTTTGGAAAGAAAACAAAACAGTAGGTGCTCCAGGCTTTGCAATGCTAGGGTCAAATCCTCCTCCCCTTACCTATGCAAGCACTCCTGGAAGTGAACTGGACTGCTTGCATGAGTGTGGTGAGCATGATTTTTGCCTTTATAACAATGTGCTAGGAAGGAGGATTTGGGGCTAGTGCTTCAGTGTAATCTGAGACCTAATGGAACTTCAGTCCAGAGGGTTTTGAGAAAATTGCTGTTATTTTCTTGTTTATTTCACAGGTGACAGCAAAAAAGAAACAAAGCCATCAATTCCCACCTACTTAGCTATGTGTCTTATCTAGGGCTCACTGTAGAGCCAAGTGCCTCATAGTGCACCCAGTAACTGAAAGCAGTGGTGGCTGGAGTCGGGCTTCATATATTCCTTTGTTTCCTTGGAGTTTACATTCAGAAGAACAAAGTGATCCTCAACCCATATAGGGAATGGAAGATTTCAGGGATTAATCTTCCTGAACTTGTATGCTTATGCATGGAACCTTCACTGGAAATAAGGGAAATTAAAAAAAAACAAACTTTGAAAGAAAAGAGATCAAGCCCTGCGAGTAGGCAGCTGCTTTATTCTTTCCGTTCCTGCACTAGATTTTTTTGTCCATTTCTCTCTTTTAAATTCTCCAGTGATTTTAATTAAATTCACTAGGTTTGAAAGGAAGGGTCACCACCTCCCACATCTGACAGGTACCATTAATGGCGACTTTGCAATACTCCAAAACAGGGTTAATGAACACAGTGAAGGAAAAGCATGCTCCTGATCTTAGCAAGAGGTAGCGTGGAGATAATGTTTTAGTCTCTCCCTTAGAAACTTAATTTAAATTGCTGTGTGCTGGAAACACTAATGGGGGGGGGAGAGACGACAGGAAGGGAGGTTAAATACTTGCATTCCTTCCTTGTGCACAGCTAGGCAAGATGGATGAAACTAATCATGGTGGGGTTGTTGTGTGTTTTTTGTCGGCTTATTTTTATTTTTTCCTTCTGAATTGTCAGGGAAAATACACATGGCCAGAATAAAAGTTGTTCCTATCTCTTCACTTAGTACTTGACCATATGTCTGTCCCCCTTTTATCTCCCCATTCATTCTCCCTTCCCCTCCCAGTCTTTCCCCTTCCCTACTACCTATGCTCTCTTTCTATCCTGGCCTTTCTTTCTCCCATTAATGACCAAATGAGTTCTGCAGCAAGCTGTGACTGTCACATTACTTGTCTTTTCAGATAGTGTGGTTGTTTTCTCCAGGCATCCATTTACCTCTAAAATGTGTGTCAGTTTTGAGAATGTTTTTACCCACCAGGAGATCCACATACACTTCTGAATAGAAGCCTATAATGCAAATTGTTTGTCCACCGGTTTATTTCTCTGAACATGAAGAAAAGGATATATTGTCTATGCCAAGCCATCATGTACATGCCTATCAAATTCTTTTCCATTTACTACTGGTTTTGCAAAAAATCCTGTTTTATATGCTGAATGCCCCAAACTTATGGGCTGGATGAACTATAAGCAGTGAACAACTTAGTCCTCAAACATAGCCCTTTTACTGACCATCAATTATGATTTTTAAAGACTGGTTTATTATCTGAAATGGTTCAAAAATAATTTGTATAAACCAAAAGTAGTTTATATGAACCAATTTTACACCTATGGAGTTTGTGTCAAATGATTACGATGAATATTTGCTCTTTGTCACCTAAGTCGCATGGCATTCTTTCAGATTTCTGATTCAGTGACCTAAACCTTATACAAAGGCTTTTTTTGTGCTCTCAGTTAATTGTACAAATCTATTCTGTGAATAAAATAAGAATATTAAAAGTGAAAAAAAAAGTTTGCATAGCCCTCTGCCAGCCAAACTTTTTGCACAGCTCAGATTGCAACGCCTCCAGATACTAAGAAGCAGAGGCTGAAAATCAAGCAAAATACAAAATGTAATGTAAGAAAGTACAATTATGGCACTTTCATAGCAGTTTCCATTAAAAGATTTAAAGTGCTTTAAGAAGAAGGGTTTGATTATCCATGTTTTACAGATGGGGACACACAGAGGATAAAGCACACATCCTCAAAGAATGATCACTGATTTGGTTTTCCCAGTTTTGCGATGGCCAACCTGAGACACTGTGGGTCCCTTTTTCCCCAGAGGTGCCAGCCTCCTGCAGCTGCTGTAAACCTCAGTGGAGTTACTGATGTTCAGCATCCCTGAAAGTCGGGCCTTAGACGTCTGAAGTTGGGCACCCGAATTTGGGGACACTTCTTAAAATGTAGGCCTTAGTTCCGGGTGGGAAAACTACAGCTGTCGGCCCGCGAGCTCCCGCTGGGGAGTGGCGTCTGGGGCTTGCCTCGCTCCGGCACTCCAGCTGGGGCGCTGGGTGGGGGGCCATACCATACAGCTCGGCCCCGCTCCGGCAGTCCAGCCAGGGCACAGGCCGCACCACGTGACTCGACCCCTCTCCAATGCTCCGGCCAGGGCGAAGGCCGCACCACGCGGCTCGGCCCTGCTCTGGCGCTTCAGCTGGGGTGCAGGGTCGGGGGCTGCACTATGCAGCTCCCAGAAACAGTGGCATGGCCCTGCTCCGGCTCCTATGTGCTCCAATGGGAGCTGCAGGCGCGGTGCCTGTGGATGGGGCAGTGTACAGAGCTGCCTGGCTGCGCCTCTACGTAGGTGCCAGGGAAGGGACATGCCACTGCTTCTGGGAGCCGCTTGAGGTAAGCGCCGCTCGGAGCCTGCGCCCCTGAGCCTCTCTCCACGCCCCAACCCCCTGCCCAAGCCCTGATCACCCTCTAGCTCTCCAAACCCCTCGTTCCCAGCCTGGTGCACCCTCCCGAGCCCCACCCCAGAGCCTGCAGCCCCAGCCAAAACCTGCACCTTTTCCCCCACCCCTGCCACAGCCCTGATCCCCCTCCCGCCCTCTGAACCCCTCGATCCCAGCCCAGAGCACCCTCCTACAACCCAAATTCCCCATCCCTAATCCCACCCCAGAGCCAGCACCCCCAACCCCTCTCACACTCCAACCTCCAATTTTGTGAGCCTTCATGGCCCGCCATACAATTTCTATTCCCAGATGTGGCCCTCTGGCCACAAAGTTTGCCCACCCCTGCCTTAGTTACTTGCCCCCAAATCATACTGCAAATCAATGGCAGAGCGAGGAATAGAACCTAAGTCCCCTTATTTCTGCTTAGGCCATGCTGCCTTAAGTAGGGAAGAGCGGACTGCTGAGAAGTGTACCACACAATCTTTCTAGAAACTCATTTTATTACAAAAAGGGTGTAGCTGTGAGCTACTGTGGCTCTGAGGTGTATCTACAATAACCCTTAGTGTTACCGAACTATTCAAAAGTTGCTTCAAAGCATCATTTGTGTATATTCGCCCAAATTATTTTATTGGTAATATAGAACTAATTCTCATGTTAGACAGAAAAAGTGTAATATTAACAGAAAACTGAGATGTTCGGAGTTCTGTTACTGGATGAGCCACTTGGTGTGTTTCTTAATAACCAGATACAGTTAACTTAAATAATGCATCTCAAGGCAATGTGAGCAATACTAAAATGGTTTAGATTATGTATCATCCCAATTTAAAAAGCTATAGATTATTTATTACCTTAATTTCCCTCTTAATGCAGACACATTTAATAATACATTTTACCTATATTAATTTCACGCAGCTGTTTGTGCATTGCATTGATCCCCAAGTTGTTTTGTAAATCCATGGTGGTTCTCACAGCAAAGAAATATAATGAGAGCAATAGCACTGAAGGATAGACAGTTCAAAAGCCAAAAACATTATCCTATAGATAGTAGTATCTCTAAAAGAGTGGAGGAATGCCTCTCACAAACACTGAAAGATACAGACTGGACAAGAGGAGAGGCAATTCAGATGCATTGATGAAATGAAAAACCATAAACTAATTAACTACCAGCAACATAAAAAGAGGTTAGGTTACAGAAACTAGAGAGTCATTGAAAAAGCCTGAAGTAGAGACACACGGTGTAATTTTCAAAAGCACTCAGCACTGGCTGATGGGCAAGTTGAACACCCCACCAAAAAGAAAAAAAAAATCAAGACACCCCAAATCTCCAGTCACTTTTACTAATGACCCAGAGCATTTTGTAAGGGTACTTTCCTCCGGTGTTGGTGCTAGGTCTTTACGCTCAGTAAAACAAAACAAGAGAAGGTGCAGCCACAGAGTAGGCAAAACTTAAAACATGTTCTGCAGCTAATGCATAATAAACATCCCTCTGTCACCAAACATCCATTCATTAGCAATGACCCATCAACCAATTATTACAGATCTTTCCCCCTTCGGCAAGATTATTAATCTAGGGATTCGTGCTTGCTGGGTTTTTTTCCGAAGCAGGTCACGGGAATGGAGGAGCAGACAGCGCTGGCATTGCCAGTAAAAGACCAACAGCTGCTATAAAATTTTGAGGGAGTCTCCATTGCTATTGGCACATCACAATATAACATGGTCTGTGTCTGTGTACACATACCTACATATACACAGACACGGCCTACAAGCTTGATTGTGGATTTTTTTTTCCTGACAGAAAATTATGTTTTAGTAGCTGAGACTATACTTTGCCTAAAGTATGTCTGGCAGCCCTAATGACAGTTAATGTTAGTGCTCCTGAGAGTATAGCAGGCTGGGCTACAAGTGACCAGCAGAATTGGGAGGATTTCCCCTGGTGAGCACAGATGAGGTACTCTCACACTAAGAAAAGGAGTACTTGTGGCACCTTAGAGACTAACCAATTTATTTGAGCATGAGCTTTTGTGAGCTACAGCTCACTTCATCGGATGCATACCGTGGAAACTGCAGCAGACTTTATATACACACAAAGAATATGAAACAATACCTCCTCCCACCCCACTGTCCTGCTGGTAATAGCTTATCTAAAGTGATCATCAAGTTGGGCCATTTCCAGCACACTTTGGATGGGCTATCACCAGCAGGAGAGTGAATTTGTTTGTGGGGGGGAGGGTGAGAAAACCTGGATTTGTGCTGGAAATGGCCCAACTTGATGATCACTTTAGATAAGCTATTACCAGCAGGACAGTGGGGTGGGAGGAGGTATTGTTTCATATTCTTTGTGTGTATATAAAGTCTGCTGCAGTTTCCACGGTATGCATCCGATGAAGTGAGCTGTAGCTCACAAAAGCTCATGCTCAAATAAATTGGTTAGTCTCTAAGGTGCCACAAGTACTCCTTTTCTTTTTGCGAATACAGACTAACACGGCTGCTACTCTGAATACTCTCACACTGTAAGCAGGTGGCAGTCATTCCCCTTCAGACACCTTGGGTAACCCTGAAAAGTATCAAGGGGGGGGGGCGGGGTGAGTTTTGTATATTCTTATGTAATGGGCCATAACACTGACTTAGCAATCAACCAAGGCAGCAAACACCTTCCAATCATATCCTAAACAGGAGTTATGCCAATTAGCCCTACAATGTCAGTGAACCACAGTCATTGCCCTGTGCTTTCTTCTGCACAGCAAGCTTGTCATCCAGGACATACAGAGATTGATGGCAAGTAATACTCTGGTTTTTACATTTGATGTGGTTCAAGGCATTTCTGTTTATTAGAATTTTATTATGCAACAAGGTGACTTATACATCAGGTATATTATACAATGGGCCACATGCTTACCTGATGGAAATCAGATGGCTCCAATGACTTGTTATCCTAACTGACGAGCTGTCCTGTTGTATTTGGTGCAGCAGCTGCATTATCCATCTCCTCAAAATATGGAGATTAAGGAAGCTATTGCCAAACTATGACATCCACATTATCAAAAATAACATAACTGTCTAGTTCCATGTACCAGTGGCACAAAGGTTTGTGCATATGTATTATAGAGATGCTGTCCTGTAATAATGCTACAAGGGAAAACCAAATGAATGATTCTTTAAAAATCAGTTAAATCTAATTTGGGATTACAAAAACACTAAAATGCCTTAATCATAATTGTTTGATATTGCATGTCATCACTCTAGGACAGAGTTGAATTTGTGTGGGTGTCTTAGCTGTGCATTTCCTACCTTAGCATGTCTGGTTTACTTTTGCATGTAACTTTAACTCTGAATTACCTTGGTTTGTAATGCTTGGTTTCGGGATAATTACAATATCCCTGTAATGTTTTTACCCTTAAATTACTGCTACATACTCCCAACCATAACTCCACCCTAGTGTCGTTTTTTGTCTGGAAATACACAATGAACACACACCAAGGGAATGCTTAATGTTACCCATGAGGTACCCCATCAAATGAAAATGATGGTTTTTCTCTTGGCAGCTGTCGCACCAATATACTCAGTTAAAACCTCTGATACTTTTTGGAGGGCAGTCTCACAGAACACTAGGAAATCTCCATTTCCTTTAACCTTACCACTTTTCTGTTGAGAAAGAGCCCACAGAGAAAACATATTGCAAAGTAAGTAACATAATCAAGACAAGCCCCTGCAGGAGTAGTTGGTTTTAGATTCCCAAGCAGGATTAGTTGGTTTTAGAGTCTCTTAATTTATTGTTTAATGCTGAGTGTGTGGTTAGATATGTATAAGACAAAGGAATATGACCCTGGCCCCAGGATGTTTGTAATCTAAATAGACAGACAACAGACGAATGTACAGGGAGATCCAGAGGATGCATTAGTTTAGGGCTTGATTGCTGAAGGCACTGATTGTTTCCTAAGAGATGCTGCCCAGCTGCAACTCTCATTGAACTAAATGAGACTTTGGAGGATTCAGGACTTCAGTGTCAGCCCTTAGCCTGAAATATACAGTGCTACGTAAGGAATCTGGTCACCCAATTCAAAATTAATGGCGATTGGGTGTCCAAATCCAATAAGTGTCTTTGAAAATCCCACCCATGACAGTTTGTGTTCCTATCTTATTTAATGGAGTGGAGGCATCTCTTTCTAAAATGGTTAATCCTTTGGGAGTCTCATGGAAGAAATGAGACTGAAGGATAGATTTGTTTGAAAGAATGGTGGATGGCCATGGAACTGTACCCGTCTTTTTTCAAAGATCAGTAATAAGTCAGATTCCAACATGGGCCAGTGCTGATGTTCCAGGATGGCTAGCAACCCATGATGATAGCATAAGTCAGTACACCAGCAATGGTCATTCAACCAATGAGTGGATTAACTTATTATATAAATGATGGACTCCATTTTAGTTGGTTGAAAATGCCTAGTAATAGTAATACTATGCCTAGTAATATTATATATTTATCAATATATCCTCACATTACTATTAGGAGCAGTTTATTATCCATGAGCATTGTACATCTTCCCTCATCATTCAGGACAATTTATTTATTAAAGAGAATTCTTTAAGGAGCACTGTTTACTGAGGTGCAAAATGATTGTGATATTTCATGTGTTGGTGACTGGCTTGACATACTGCACTTCTCTTTC